ATTATAATTATATATCGACTTTGCCACAAAGAACTATTTAGAATACCTAATCATGATAAGATGGTGTTCTTTACTGAAATTACCTGTGTATAGACTATGACACCATCTTCATGGGTTGAAATAATTGTTTTAGAACTACTTTGAATTTAATGCATTCCTTGGAGCTAAATTCTTTGTGTCCTCTTTCAGTTTTCAATACATACATAGCTAAAGCTGCACATATGATGAAAATCTTTGAATCCCAGCCCATATATTTTCCCCAGAGGAGGGTTTCTTTTGTTTGGTCATGTTAATAAAAACCAGCACAGCTCATGTTTACCATGTAAAGCAGTCAAATTGCAGATAATTCAAGTGCGTAAGTTAACACCAAGATTTAGTACCTAGGAAAATGACAGCTCTGTGTCAGTGGGCTGAATGTGGGAAGGATTACATGAGCAGCTGAGTATAAACGGGCACCTTGACTGGAAGATGTCTTGGTGAAGCTCATCAGGAACTTTCCGGGAGGAAGAAGGGCCTGGATTTGTTGTACCTTCCTCATCACAAACTATTACAGTGAAGGGATTTGTCTTCTTTTTCATCAGTCCATGTTTACAGTCCATGGTGATTATGTTCATTGCGGGAGTCGGCACAGGCATGTAACACGTCTCAGTTCTTCTCCATCTCCTTCCTCTCACGCCTCTCCATCTGTCTCTTGGCGCCTTCCAACTTACAAAAGACCTATCTCCCTGTTTCCCATCATCTGTCTTTCATTTTGCACTTTCCATTATGTACATTTTGGGTCTTACGTAGGAGAAACCTCGTGATGTTTAAGCTTGTGCATCACATCTATTTCACTGACTGCAATGGTCTGTTTCATATGTGAAGCAGCACAGTTTTGGCTGAAAGGACTCTGGGATAAACAGATGATACATTCTTACACCCTGTAGAATAGTGTTTAAAATGAAAGAGTTTTTAAATTTTTAGAAAAAACTCAAAATAATAAGTACAATCAAATGATACCAATAATTACAGTAAATATAAATGGACTAAAAATTCTAATTAAAAAGCAGAGATTGACAATTGACAGACCAGATGAAAAAGAAAGACCCAAATGTGATTATCCTCAGAAACATAACCTTAAATACAAAGACAGAGATAGGCCAAAAGTACATAGGGTCATGGTACTGTCCAGAGAGTTAGGTGTAATAAGGGGTGGTATCTGTATTTGAATTTCGTATTTTTATTAAAAAGAATTCCGGGTAAAAGTTAAATTTAAAATTATGTAAGTTTCTAGGAGCCATTTTTAGATTATATGAACAATGATTAAATTAAAATTATATATTTGTGCCTGGTAGCATATGCCTATAACTCCAGCACTCTGGAAGGCAAGAAGATGCGAAGTAGGAGCCCAAACTGGGCAGTTCAGTGCTTAGTAAGACCCTGTCTGTAAATTTTTAAAAAAGGGCTGCTGATGCTGGGATCGAGCCCAGTACCAATATATAATTTATTTGTTATTTTTATAACATTTTTATATATCATACGGTTTTTATTGAAATCTGAGCAGATTGGGATAGCATTTTCTTTCTAAGTTATGACTAATATGGTTCAAGTACAGTGCCTGATAAATACTAAAGTCACCGTCAGAGACTCATATCAAATTGAGGCTATTGTAGAGACTCATACCTATAATCCCAGCTACTCAGGAAGCAGAGGCAGGAGGATTGCAAGGCCACTGGGAAACTTAGCAAAATCCTATCTCAAAAATAAAATTTTAGGGTCAGGGATTTGGCTCAGTTGTTCTGCCACCTGCCTCACAAGCGCAAGGGCCTGAGTTCGATCCCCAGTACAAAAAAAAAGAGTCAAAAATAAAATTTTAAAAGGGGCTTGGGATGTAGCTCAGTGTTAGTGTGCTTGCTTCGCATACTTGAAGGCCTGGGTTCAGTCCCTAGTACTGAAAAGAATTTTAGGCTCTCTCCAGTTGGAAGGCCCACAGGTATGCTGCATACTGAAGTAATGCTGGTTTATTCACGCATTCTTTGTACCCTGACTCCATTCGTCATGTACCCACTAGGCAGGTGCCAAGCACAGTGATAAACGGGAGGTACATCGCTTGGCACCTCACTGCCCTCCTCAAATACAAACTGGAGAGGATGTTTTAAACTGGACTAGAGTGAGTGTGCACTTATCCTAGAATATGGTAACAGTGACTGCACATCGCAGCCCACCCATCTCATTCTGCTTGGGATTCCTGCTAGTGCTAGCAAACAGAAACAGAGTGCAACTACAGCTATAATTTTGTATGTTCTAGCAGCCAATTAAAAAGTATAAGAAAAGTGTGGGTTAAATTGGGTAACATATTTGATCTACTTTAATATCTATAATATTGTTTCAATAAATCATATTTCTTAATTTTATTAATTTATTGCCTTGCTGGAGATCAAACCCAGAACCTTGCATATCCCAGGCAAGTGCTGTACCACTGAGCTATAACCCCAGCCCCAGTGCTTTTTAAATGGCTAAAGAAACCTTTTTCATTCTTCCTCTTGCCTGGAGTCTTCAGCTGTCAGTGTGCCTTTCACACAGCAGCACCTCTGTACTGCGGTGCACCTTGGCTGCATGTAGCTGGTGGCTGACTGGGCAGTGCCGGCTTGTGTGGACCAGCCCCCACTCAGCTGTGGACTTTTGCAAGTGACAAGTGGACTCCAGGGAGATTCTAGGAAAGTGGTGGCATTTCTGATGTTAAGGGAAAACCTCTGTGTCCAGAATAGGAAAGAACTCCCACCATGCCATTGCTAGAAACATCAGGATGTGTGGTCAAGATGAACATAATTCTCTTGAGGCTCAAACCTCTCCACCAGTTTTCATTCCAGAGAGTCCCAGATTTTATTATGTTTGGAGACAGACCTGTACAGCTAGTGTGAAAAGTATCCAAGTGGTCCTTGAGAAATTGTAAACCTTCCCAGGGTTCAGGAAGAATAATAAGAGCTCCATTTGTCAATAAATATTTATTGGATGAAAGATGTAATGAGCCAGTGGGCCGCATGTCAGCTCTCTGAGACACAAAATACTTTTAGCTCTAGGTTAATGAGCCCCTGCTCATTTGCATGCTTGTCTTCTATTTAATATTCATTTGCCTCTTAACAAAAGAATACCTCTTCCTGACTAAGGTCAGTATTCCCATCAGGCTGTAAATCCCCATATTTTCAAGAAGATGACTTCACATAGGTAGGCTGGCGTAGGATACTTCACCATGTGCAGAGAACTGTGTTTCAGATTCCGTGTCGTGATACCTCATCAGGATTGGATCGCAGCTCAGACCTGGAGAGGAAGAGTTGGAACCAGCCTGGACTTCGTCTCTGTCTTAACACAGATGTTATAGGCTCATCCTTGAGGGGAAAGACCACCCCGTCCCCTTCAGCAGAAGCAGCTGGGAAGCAGGACGCTGGGCCCTGCTGAGGCCCAGTCTCGTGAGGGGTGTTTGGGGTGAACATATGTGCTGAGCATGGGGAGCGTCACCCCGACGTGAAGCCACCTCTGTCATAATGGAAGATCGACGCCTAAGTAGGCCTCGCTCCCAGAGGAAATGCTGTGTCCCGTACTTGCTTCCCTTGTTCTCTGCCTTTGCTCCATATTTCACTGTGTACAGTAATTTCCCTTAAAGTAAATTTTCATCATTTAGCCCATAAAATGCATTATGCTTCCTTGACCTGTAGGTTATGAATGATGGATTTAACTAGGGTAAGCTGTATTTAGCATGAATGAGCTAATGTCTAAAATCAAACTGACTAGGACCTAGATCATATTTGTGTGCTTTTCCCCCAGTGTAGTCTCTGTAATGTCTGCGACCATGTCAGGAAAGCTGCTCTTTGTCCCTTCTCTTTTCCTATGAGATCATTCTAAGTGTACTTTAATTCAATCACCATCCTGCAGAAAGCTGTTGATCCAGACACAAGTATTGAGCCTGCACATGTGAGTCTGAGGTAGGGCTTGCCTGGTAGGAGGTCCTAACTCTGTATGCAGTGGTAAGGCGCAGGCACAGAGCCTCGTGTTAAAATGAGAATCGGGCTCGGTGAGAGGCGGACCAGCTGCCTGAGGAGGTCAGACCATGCGTTGTGTGCCTATGAGATGGAGCTGGTTGTGCAGGACCCAAGCGAGTGCAGCACCTGGGCCTTCTGGGCCCAACCTGTGCTCTTCCTGCTAAGCCCAGCTTTCTCCCAGAGCTGGGCCCTCCGAAGCACATGGGCCCCTCTTCTTTCTTCAACACCTTCCTGTAGCAAGTTGTAAGGGGTGATACACTTCCTTTACAGGCCCTTAGGCACATTTAATTCACTCTAGCAGTAACTACATAGGCACCAACTCTAAAAGATGCCAAAAGCAATGTGCTGCTGATTTATTGCTACATCTATTAAGGCTCCAGAGAGAATCTAACTCCCTAGATTTTAAATACAGTTGAGATATTATGACAATGTTTCCTGATTTAATCCCTCCATATATTAGATGAAATGATTTTAGTACCTGTTGTCACTTCATTTGTGCCGTCTCCTATCACTCTTATCCCTTTATTCATTCAGAATAAAGTACCACAAGTCATTAATGTAGCACTTGGAGATAGGGGGCTATGTTTTTATGGCTTCAGTATGAAATCATACTTAGGATGCCTCAGCCTTTACTGGAATAGGGGGCAAAAAAAGATAAAAACCATACTCGTCTCCTGTGAACCTCTTAATAACATTACTGGATGTTTGCAAATGAGGGAACAGGATATTAAGAGTCTTGTCCTGGTCAGTCTACAAGTACTTACCAGAGCCAGCACACCCTGGTCTTCAACTTGGAATGCGAGGCTCTTTGTCCTCTTAACTCGAACCTGCTGGGGCTTCTGTTACAACCATTCCCTGATGGTTTGCAGTGAAAGGCGTGCTTACCAACCTGGAAACAAAACCAAAGCTGTCAGCGTCCCTGTCACTTCAGCGTCAGTGTTTCCGTTCATCACTTAACAGTCGCTGTTTGGTGCTCTCTTACAGAAGGCAGCAGGCTGCTACAGCAGAGACTGTCCCTAGATGGGAACCCCCGATCTATCCACGGAGCCGCAGAGAGGTCAGATGGCCCACAGTGGGCAGCCGAGCAGCCTTGGAGCCCGGGCAAGCCCAAGGCAAAGACTTCTCCTGTTAAGCCCAGTGCCCCTGCAGCTCATCCTGAGATGAAACCAGATGAGCTGGCAAAGAAAAGAGGTAAAGTGATTTCTTTTGCATGACTCATTCCACATGTGCTGTAAGCACAGAGAAGTGCAACATGACAAAACTTGCTGCGAGACACTGCTGAGCACTGAGAGATGCACCTGAAACTGCACTTCTGGCTGACTCGCCTGGATTGAAAGGCAGGTGCAGTCCTCCATGTCAGCCAGAGCCTTGAGTATTTCAGAGTCGTTCTGCCCCTTGTCCCACCCTTCTGCTGTGGCTCCCTTTGTGGTGTGATGAAAGTGCTCTCCCACCCTGTCTCTACTACCTAAGTGTTCATACAAGAGCCCTTTGGGAATGGGACTAGTGTTTCCAGAGACACAGGTTCTTGACCTGCATGGTGTGGGGACAAGTCCAGAGCTCTGTGTCTTCCTCAGAGGTTTTCTTCCCCTGTGAACCCAGATCCGTGTCTGAACTTCCAGACCACATAACCCTGGGAGAGAATTTCACATCAGACACACTGTGCTCTTTATTTCTGAGCTGTGATACTTGGCCATAGCTAGACTTAAATTGTAGAGACTAGGATGTTTCCTTTCTGGTTCCCAGAAGATTCATTTCTTTTCTTCTCACTCAGCCTAACTGTATCTGAGGTCCTTGACTTTGGTTCTCCCTCTCTCTTCTAAGGAGCAGGGCCTGTTTGCCACCCCTTTCTTAGGCCCCAGAGCCAGTGTTGGGGAATCAGGTGAGATTGGCACCAATGGCTGCTGCCCTCACAGGCCTGGCCCAGCTGCCTGTGGGCACCAATGCTCCATCCTGTGTCTCACTTGTACCTTGCCCAAGCCCTGTGCCACTTTCCTCTCCAGCGCTCTACTGGCTTCTAACTCCACAGTTGCGTTCATCAAGACAGCCAACAGCACAACAGTCTCAAGACACCAGGTCTGTGACAGAACACAGACCCGAGCTCCTGGAGAGCAGAGGACACAGGTGTGCCCACGCAGCAGCCAGAGACCCAGCAGTGGGCCCCTACTCTGGACAGAACTTTTCCCACCAAAAAACAAAAAATGAATTTCTGTTTTCAGTGTGTTAGTTGCTTTGTTTTGTTGTTTGGCACACAAAGGATAAAGTACTCAAGGTAACACCTTTTTTTTCTTGACATCAATTTTAGGCCCAAATATTGAGAAATCAGTGAAGGACTTGCAACGCTGCACTGTTTCCCTCACCAGATACCGAGTCATGATCAAGGAAGAAGTGGACAGCTCCGTGAAGAAGATCAAGGCGGCCTTCGCTGAGTTGCACAACTGGTGAGTAGGAAGCCTGAGCATGTAAATCTGAATTGCTGCGCCATTCCTGCAGTTTGTAAAAGCATCAGATGGAAAACATTATTTAATGCAGAAATATTGCAGAACAACTCTCCTGCAGATTTTCTAGAGGTCTGCAGGCAGAAACATAGATCTTGAGAATAAAAAAGAGAAGAGTATATGAATAAGAAGAAACCTTATACACATAACTCATTGGAGCTTAAAGTTGGCCCAAAAGCTATAAAGGAAATAGAATAAAACCTCCAAAATAATATATCGATAAATTCTAGAAGCCTAATAATGTGAATGCTACTAAAAAAACAAAATATTTCCAGCATTGTTGTCATACAATCTGAAAACTCCTTTAACGAAAACAAATATCTTGATGTCAGCTAGTGGTGGAACCCTGCTTTGCTGTCTGTAAGAGCAGAATTATGGTAGGAAATGGTGTGTGGTGTGGTCCTCCCCTGCCCCGCCTGCAACTGACTTGGAGGGAGGAGCCCTGCGTATTTGCTTATGGCGACAACTGGAATGAAGTACTTGTCAGTGTAGGTTATCAGTAGAGAACTTACCATGGATCAGTTGGGACTTTGCAGTTTCAAGTGACAGAAACCCGAGTCATACTGGCTAAAGACGCAAGAACTGATTAGCAGACCTGCCTTCTGTGAGACAAATTCAGTTCTAAACCCAGATGTTGTTATGAGGACCCCTCCCCCTTTCCCCTTCCCGCTCTGCTCCTCAGTATTCCCAGTCTCCCGAGTCTGCTTATGCCTGAGCTCATTCTTGGGGAGACCTCCCCAGGGGATGGCAAAGATGGTGCCTGGGGCCCCTGAGAGTGGAGAGGACCTGTTTCCTGTGGGCCCAGCTGGACTCCGCGGCTTCTCCCCACTGGCAGGACTGGGCCGCCTGTGTATCTGCACTGGTCACTTAGCAGGAGGGACAGGCTGCTCACTCACAGGCCACCATCACGTGTGTGAGCAGAATCAGGACTCATCCCACCGAAACACCCTAGAACTGAGAGTTGCTGAGCCCTGGTTTGCTTTCCAGAGGGAAATGAAGGTGTTGGAGAAGGAAAGCATGCACCCACAGTGTGCACCTTCTTGGCCTCCTGTGAGCCTCTGAAGTAATCACATCTTCTGCATGTTTTCCTGTTCCAAGTCCTTGCTTTGACACCGATGTGCTTTTTAGCAGAAACTGTGGGATTGTTTGAAATCGGGGATTCAGCTCCCCACTGACTTAATCTAAAATTCATCAGTGTTAAGCCATTTGCCACGTGTGATAGCGTATGGGAGCCATCGGAGACTTGGAAACAGACTGTCTGCTTCCTCGGAGTCCGATCCTCTGAGGGCAAGGCCTGGGCCGGCACCGTCTGAGGTGGAAAGCAGGTGGGACACTGGGAAGGCGGTGAGCAGGGGCTCACGGAGCCACTGCCCGCCTGCCCATCTGAAGGCGCGAGCTAGCGGCGCAGAGCCGTGCACTGCGTCCCCCACTGGGTGGTGTGCCAGAGGAAGCGTCCACAGAGTGACTTTGTGCAGCTGACCAGGGGACGAGACCCCCAGGCCCTCTCCCCAGCTGCTCCACGTCCTCTTGCTGCATTCCACCTCTTAATCAAATGGACAGCACGAGGTTCTGAGACATTTGAGATTACTGCAGATCCTTGGACGGCCCCCTCCTCGCGGCCGGGGGAGCCAGGGCCCTTGGAAGCAGTGTGTTTCCTCCCCATAGCTCCCCATCAGCTTACACTGATAGCAGCCCTGCTGCTGAGTCACCTGGGTAATGAAGGGACACTCTCCTTCCACACTGCAAAGACAGCGCTAAGCACAGCCGTTCTCTCTGTGCAGTGGCTACAAAAGGAGTCAACACCAGCAATTGTTTTCTGATCTAAAATGTTTTCTGACCTGATGATCCCACAGTAATTGCATAAGCATTAACTTAAAAAATAAAACCAAAGTACTTTTTTAAGTGTCATTTACATGTGTTTCTGCCAAATGGAAAACTTTGCTTCTGGTCCAAGAAGGCCTCCAGCCCTGCCCACGTGGTGATGTGCTAAAACAAAGCCTCTCTCTCGTTTTCTAAGGGGAGGGAAGGATGCCTTTTAGGAAGTGTGGTGCTCTTACAGAGTGTCAGCTTGTAGCACTGAGGAAGGCAGCCTGGAAGTGCTTTGAAAAGCTTTCCTATTTATTGATGGTTAAACCGCACGTGCTAGGCCTGAGAGAGCTGCAGACGTGGTGCTGGGAAGGAAGCTCAGCATCACATCAGAGAGCTGGGTGGGAGGTGTGGGCCAAGCCCTTGGATTCCCGGAAAGAGTGCTGTCCAGAGCAGGTTCTGCCTGTGCCCCGCAGTGGCGTGGATGTTGCAGTCCCCTCTCAGGGCCTCCTCCACTCCCACTGTGAGCTGCTGCTCTCAACCCCCAGTGCCTCTGTAGGCATCGTCACGGGAGAAATGTGAGACATTCATTGCTACCAAAGGCCAGCTTGAGGGCATGAGTCCTGCCTGGCTAAATCCCCCACAAAATCTGCTAGAATTCCCGGAACGAAGGTTTCAAGGAGCAGGGAAGCCAGGTGAGCAGTCAGGCTGTGAACGTCACTGAAGGAAACCACTAAGTAGCTAACATACAAAGTCTGCGTGGCATTCAACCAGAATACATGGCAGAGGGCCAAATGACCACAGCATAGAGCCTTTTCACCCTCCCAGAGCAACTGGAGATTTGGGAGGGCAACAGAGACAACACGGCACTCTACTGTACATCTGAATGGAAAATAAACTTGGCAGCGGGAGCATGAAAAGTCACATCAGGAACTAACGTGAAACAGCTGGTTTCCTTTCTGTGCATTTGGTCTCCTACCACAACTGGAAAATACTCACCCTTTGGAATCGTAGCTGCCAGATTTAATTGCTTTGTGTGCAGACTGGGCTAACCTCTCATCACAAATCAGTGTCTGTGGGTCCAAGTGGACTGTGAAGGTGTAAAGTGAGCAATACAACATTACATTTTAAAAAATCGAGGAAGGATAATAATACTTGATATTTCTGCCATATGCCAGGGAGAAAGTATTCCAAAATAGAGCTGTCAGAATTCTGTTAGGTGCTGTTGTCAGTGCAGCATCTAATTGAGAGCTCCTGAGGCAAGCGGAAGCCGGGCTGCAGCCAGTGGCCAGCGCGCATGGGTGCAGCGGGACTGCGGGTGACGGGACGAAGAGGACAAGGAACACTGCACTTTCACGTAGGAAAGGGAAGCCAGTCAACGCACATCTTGTAGAAAAGGCCAAGACTGCCCCTCTACCTACTGCTTTTCCTGCCGTGGTGCCGGGTCTGACTCAGGCAGAATGTGGAAGTAGGTCAGGACGTCAGCTCCCCCGCCTGCACCCTTGCCTGCTTCCCCTTCTGTGCCTGCTCTTCCTTCATCTTTTCCTCCTCCCCAGCAGAGAGGAGTGAGCCACACGGGACAGGGACTTGCGACGCTGTCCCCATGTCCCTTTGCTTATGTAACTGACGGCCTCTTGCTTCTGCTGACCATGGGCCCTCCCTCCGGATGTGACGCATGTGCGTGTTAGCAAAGCTCTATGGAGGAGGCTCCCCGGCCAGAAGAAGAGCTCACGTGGGAATTTCAAGCTGAAGATATGGCTGTTTTGAGATAAGTTTATCTTCTTCCAGCATCCTTCAGATCCCTCTCACCTGCTGCTTACAGCTCTGTTGGTCGCCGAGCAAACAAACACCACAAAATCAGGGTGGCCGCTGGCCCCGCACACAGGCAGATTTCATCTCTGTGGCCTTTCAATATTCCGTCCTTTCTCTCGGATGTGCGTGTGAGGGCCTCTTAAAGAGGAAGTTGCCACAGTTTGTAATAGCTAAATCTTGGAAACAACCTATTTGCCCATCCGTTGGAAACTGGATAAAGAAGATGTGGTTTTTCTATAAAAGCATATAACTCTCAGCCATAAAGAGCGAGAGAATAGATTCATTCATAGGAAAATGGATACATATTGAAGATATACTCCTAAGTGAAATAAATAAGTCCCACATGTGTAAATACCAAATAGTTTCCCTGGTGTGAATATTCTGCAACAATGCATAAGATTCTAATAAGATTACTGACATTTAGAAAT